TTGGCTCTGAATTTACTAAATTTCAAACAGAATTTTTTTCTTGTCGCAATACTCTATATGAAACAATCTTTGAAGCATGATTTGAAGCATTATGTGTGAATTTTCCAAATGCTTCATTATATTTTAAAACAACATTATATCCAATCAAGTACAAATGGGCTAAATGCTTTATATTTCAGGTATATTAGTTAAAAAGTTAGTTTGGAATTAGATAAGTTAAGATAGTTAAGGATGAGTGCGCTGGATTAGGATTAAAAAATGGGTTAGAATAAGAAAATCAGGTTTTATAGTGACATCAAATTAGGCATTGACATTGAGATTATATTAGGGTTAGGGTAAGAATAGGCGGGTTAGGTTAAAAATGTTGACATTGAGATTGTGTTAGGGTTAGGGTAAGGCTAAGTGAGTTAGGCTAAAAAAACATTGACATTGAGATCATGTTAGGGTTAGGGTAAGGATAGGTGGGTTAGGTTAAAAAACGTTGGCATTGAGATTATGTTAGGGTTAGGGTAAGGATAAGTGGGTTAGAAATTAAAAATTGGGACTTGGAATGATGTTAGATAGAGTTAGGATTAAAAAATTGAATTCGTAGTGGTATAGATTGATATTTATTAATACTTTACATATTTTTTTTACTTAGGAATTTAACGCTAGTATGTCATCAACTCAAAGAGTAGAATCAATAAATGCTATCGTTCACAAATATGTTATTCTCATTCATCACTATTGGAATGCTTTAATGGTATACAAAATATGCTCTCCTCTGAACTTCAAAAAGCAGAATATCGGGATTACTTGTCTGATTTACCTTTTAGCATTGCTTCTTCTTCAGCAGTTCGTGTATTTCCTAAATTAGTGGAAAGTTTGAAAGAGTTTTTAACAGATGAAGTATTCCATATTTGAAAGACTCAAATTGATGTATGTTTTGAATATTATTCAAAAATAATTCCTTTTGAACAATATGGTGATTTGGATAATGTAAGTTAATTTTATTTGTTAACGTATGTATAAGAATTATCTGCTTAGTACTAATAATTAATTTTTCTTAAAGATTGATGAGTTTGATACCTCAGCTTGTATTGAGGA